TTTCCCTGTTCCTTTGTACTCGCTGCTCTTTGCACAGGGCGGGCGCTTGTTCACTCCGCTGGCAGCCAGGGGGTGCCTTGTCAAGCATCCCTCGATCACCTTGCAACCGCTCCCTATCAGGTCACCCTGTTTGATTTGGGGCATAGCACTTAACAGTAGTCTAGATTATCTTTTCAACTTAGGTCTCCCCCACTCTAAGAAGCTTCATGCTACAAGAAATTCCATCCGTCTAGTTCAAAACGGTGTCTTGGGCCCGACCCTGTGCCCGGCGTGCACTAGACACTCAGCAAGCGTTTGTCGAATGAATGACCGCAGCGAGGCCTCTCTAACCCCGCCCCTCTGCGCAGGCTGGCGGCGCGCGTCATGTGGCGGGTGGAGAGAGAGGGCGGCGGGCTCACGGAGGGCTGCCTGGTCCCCGTGGACGACCTGCAGAACCACGTGGAACACTTCGGGGAGGAGGCGCTGAAAGAGCTGCGGGGGGACGTGGACACTTTCCTGCAGTACTGGCCGCCCCAGAGCCAGCAGTTCAGCATGCAGTACATCTCGCGCATCTTCGGCGTGGTAAGATTTCTCCCAAAGTGGCCTTGGGGCTGGGCTGGCGCCTGGGATTGTCCGACGAAGGACCTTCCAGATGCTGCCAGGTCCGTGTGGAAGGGGAGGCCAAGAGAAGCGCTGGAGGGAGGACAGAGACCTCACGTGGAGAACTTTCACCCAGTTCTCTTTCTGGTCTTCCTTTACTCTGAGGCCACCCCACGCGTAAACTACTCATTAGCTCTGAGCGGTAGATTTTGATGGTGATTTACCTTCTCATTCATCTGCACTTCCTATATTTTCTCTTTTCCACATTGAAAACGAAGACCCACTCGCTATCCCTCCTTGCCCACCAGTCACTTTGGAAGTAAGACTCTTCCTTTTCCCACATCTGATGCGCTGATCATGGGGAACCAGGGAGAGGAAAGTAGGGGCTTTCTGGAGGGCAATGCCTTGAGCAACCTATCCAGGCCTCTTGAAGCCATGAGGGTCCAGGAGGGCGGGGTGGGAGCCCAGGGGATCAGCAGTCTCAGGCCGCGGGCTATGGGGGCATGTCTCCCATCTGGCAGGCCCGGCCCCTTGTGGGGTGCTGGTGAGTGGGCTGAGGAAGGGGTTATTGTGATAACAGTAGCATGATCACACTCAGCATCTCTCACCATGTGCCACTGCTTCTGTAATACTGAGAGTTGTCCAGAGAAATAGAACCACAAGGATGTACTTTGTGTGTGTGCATGTATGTGCGTATATATAGTATATTATACTCTATGCATTATATTATGGATAGCATATATATATATTATATGGAGAGAGAGAGAGAGAGAGAAGGAAGGAGATTTATTTTAATGAACTGGCTCTTGTGATAATGGGAGCTACTGGTAGGCCATAAGGCTGAAGACCCAAAGAAGAATTGCTGTTCAAGTTTAAAGGCAGTCCACTGGCAGGATTCCTTCTTGCTCAGGGGCAGTCAGTCTCTGTTCTATGAAGGCCTTCAACTGATTGTATGAGGCCCATCTCCATTGTGCAGGGTAATCTGCTTTACTCAAAGTCTACCAATTCAAATGTTTATCTCATCCAAAAAACACCTTCACAGAAACATACAGAATAACGTTTAACCGAATATCTGGTCACCACAGCCCAGCCAAGTTGACAGAAAATGAACTGTCTTAGCCTTCCAGATATTATTTTGTGCAAAACAAGATGAAGTCCGTGGTTTTAACATTCCTATTTTGTAGAACAGAAACCCTAGGGCCAGAGAGGTTACAGGGCTGCCAAAGGTCACACAGTGAGCTGGTGTCCAAGGAAGGTCTAGAAGCAGTCTGTCTGATGCCAGAGTTTCTACTCTCCCATGTGGAGTTTCTATGCTCCACAGCCTTGGTGTGAACGGGTGTCATAGACTATCTTGAGTATCTCTAAGGTGGTCTGGGGACTACAGCCAAGGATGGTGTAATCACCGAGGTGTAGAGCTGAAAGGACCCATAAAGACCATCTAGTCTAACTTATTCAACCTACAGATGGCAAAATAAAGCTCAGAGAAGAAAGAAATTTGCCCAAGGTAACACAGCTTATTAGTGGTACTGATGGGCTTAACTTCATGTACTTGCTGAATGACCAATGAGATTGATGGAGAAAGTGACTATCCTCCAGTATCAGTAACAAATAGCTATGTGCTATACAGATCAGTATATATCTATAAATGTATATTGTGTTATAAATATTATGGATAGCATGTGTTTATATATATGATTTTTACATTTGGCAGAAGTTTGTGTGCAGATATTAATGTATCCTAGGTAATATTTATTCTTATACATTTTTTTATACCCTGAGAGCAGACATTTGGAATCTATTTCTATAAAAAATAACTTTTTTTAAGGAAAAAGAAAGAAATCAGGTGCCGTATAAGCAGTAACCAATTTGATTTGCCTGGCATTCAGAGATAAATGTTGCACTCATCAGATTTTAAAATTGTGGACAGGGAGTACAAGGTATCCACCAGACACAAAATAATCAAAAACAGATGTTAATTTTATTTTATGAATAGTTATAGGTGTTGAGAGTAGTCAAAGGTAGCAGGGGAGACACACACACACACACACACACAAAGCAGAGAAGGGCACAGAGAGAGAAACCAAGATAGACACTGGGGAAGACTCGTGAGACCCAGATACAGGAAAACGGAGAAACTTCTCAGAACCAACATTTCCATCTTGGGCCTTTTTATTTTTATTTTTTTATTTTATCTCTTGGCTGTGCCACACGGCTTGTGGGACCTTACTTGCCCGACCAGGGATTGAACCTGGGGCCCCGGCAGTGAGACCACCGAGTCCTAACCACTGGACCACCAGGGAATTCCCATTTGGGGCCTTTTTAGAATACAGCTCCCCAAAACTTTCAAGGTGGTGGTGCATTTTCGCAAATAGGAGACTCTCCCACGGCACTAATCTCGAGGGTCATTTGGGGTCACACAGAGAACAGGAGACTGACTGTTTTGTTTCCAGACTTTCTAAGCGTTTCTAGGATGAGACCAGGTTTTCTATTTTTTAAAAAACTTTCAACAGCTGGAGGGTGTTCAGCGCCAAGTCTATGTTAGCTGACTCTCATCTTTTCCCCTGGCTAGATTAACTGCAATGGTTTCACGCTCAGTGACCAGAGAGGCCTGCAGGCAGTGGGTGTGGGCATCTTCCCCAACCTGGGCCTGGTGAACCATGACTGTTGGCCCAACTGCACGGTCATATTTAACAACGGCAAGTGAGTATGTCTTCAACTTGGGTTGGTATGTTGGGGATGGGGAGACCTTATGGTATTGTCTCTACCCTTGATTTAAACCAAAAGTAACCTGTTGAACCTGAGCTAGCATGGATTTCAAATGGACAGAAAATAGAAATTTTATTCTAGAATAATTGTGAATAGGAGAAACATAACGAGGAAGGTGGCAAAGAATTCCACGTGAGTAATTCTGGAGTCTCTGTGTTTCTTGAGCTTTGCCTAGATATGTTAGATAAACCTCCAACTACTACATAATTTAGAACTTGAAGCCTGAGATTTTCTATCTAGAGGTCATTGCAGAACAACATCAACTGAGAAGGCGCTTGGCAGGAGCAGTCAGTTTCCCAGCAGAAATCAGAAGGCACATGCAGGGGTTACCCTAAGAGAATTTAGTAAAAGGACAATTGACGGAAGTGTGGGTAGAGTCGAAGAAATTGACAAAGAATGGTGAAATGTCCAGGGTCTAGTGACAGAATGAAACCATTACCACCTTTTGACCTGGAGGGGCAATGGAGGAAGGATTGTTCTTTCAGCTGGTGAGAGCTCTAGCCCTTTCTCCCCCCACCCCCCGGCTGCTCCAACAACTTGGCTATACCTGTAGAGAAACCAGCCACTGCTAGAACCGTGGTGAGGCAGCGGGAGAGCCAAGAGACTAAATACCCCAACCTCTTTCTCCTCCCATCTTCTGATCTCCCATGGGCCAAACCTCAACCAAAAGCCAGAGGGCCAAGGAACCTGGGGTGATGAAGCCCTCAGAGGTCAGCCCTGCCCCCCTGGAAGGCACAGGTCAGGGGACAGAAGGGCAGAGAATGGAATTTGGGGTGGGGTGCAAATGGAGATGAGTCAGCAAACAGGATGAGCCCCTCGTTGTCCACGGCTCAAGCTGGGGGGCTTTGGGGGAATGAGGCCTAAACAAGATTTCTTTTGCTCTTAGAGACGAGCTCTTATGACAGGTGCAAGTTGACTCTAAGCCATCAACAATGAGCAGGCTTCCCCCCAGAGATAATGGTTTCTGGTTCTCAGCCAAGAATCAAGCTTAAGCTCCAGTAGAGCGAGGGCTCTGATTTCCCTCTTCCGTCCTATTTCTGGAAGCAAGGGCGTGCATGACAGTAGGCTTTTAAGCACTTGAGAAAGTCACTCAAGACAGGACAGTTCATTTTTGGACCCAGATGATTATCTTTCCCCAGCATTTGTATTTCCCTTTGTAAGCCTCTTAGGGTCACTGGCCTGGACCTCATGGAATCCTCCCCAGAGGAGCTGGTGTCTGGAGTTACCCTGGTTGTCAGAGAAGATCAGATTCACATGTGGGGCTGGTCTTTCTGGATACCACTCCCCTAAGTGGTGGTGACCCAGAGCTCTTCTTGTCACCACATGTAGCAGCCACAAGAACCTGGGAGCCCTTTCTTCAGATCATCACCAGTGCCCGCTCTGGCTTCCATGCATCCACTAATTCAGAGCAGCCACATTGTACCCGAGCTTCTTGGATGTTGTGCCAGAGGTGACTGCAGTCACTGTCTAGCTGCCTGCCATAGTTGAAAGAACACTGGACATGGTGTTAGGAGCCCAATTCTAACCCCAGTAATTTCTGCATACTACCTGTGTGATGGGTCTCCAGACACAGTTCAAACTGTTCCCAAAATAGACATTCAAAGAGGCCACCCTTACTTGTCCAAGATGCTTGTTAGTGGGATAATAATAGCCTCCCATGTGTTTTTTAGCACTCTACTTTTATTCTTTTGGAAAAGAATGCCTGAAGGAAGGTTTATTTCAGTAGAAGAGAAAGCTGAGCCAGGGCTTGAATCATCCAAAGATCGCTTGATGCCGTTTCTTGGTGGCCACACAGACTCTAAGTTGAAGCCCTTGTTGGTGTACCACTCAGAAAACCCCAAGGCTCTGAAGGGGTACTCCAAGCCCAATTTGCCCATGATTTGGCACTCAAACAGGACTGGGCAACCTGGAGCATCTTTCATGAATGGTTCACATACTTTTTGTGCCCTGCCATTGAAAAATACTGTAGCACTCTACTTTTAAATACATTGTCTCATGATGATCTCATTACCAGGTTACAGATGAGAATACTGAGCCCCAGGGAAGTGAAGCAACTTGTCCAGGGCTGAATCCCTTTGAACCCAGAACTTCTCATTCCAAGTCCAGTGCACTTTCCACTATAGCAGGCTGCCTTTTGTCAAGGGAACCCAGCTAGGAGGGGCTGGGATAGAGATGGCTGTGATGACCAAAGCTTTGATGGCATAACCTGGAGTGCTGTGCACCCTTGCTAAGCCATACGGGATAAGCCAATGGTAATGATTTCCATTTGGGTGTCTGTTTTGTTTTTCAGTCATGAGGCAGTGAAATCCATGTTTCACACCCAGATGAGGTGGGTCAGTCTTTGGAAACATCCCTGCTGCTCTGACCCATCTCCCTCACTTGCCTGGTTTGCTGGGGCTGCCCCTTCACGAGACTCCTTGGCTTCTGTCTGTCCTTCTGCTCCCCAGAATCTTGTCTTTGCTGGATGCTGCGTGTTTAATGCATTTATATTTTGCTCCTCACCCACCCACTACCTGCTGTGCCTATGCTTCCCTCTCTTTTACTCCTCATTTCTCTCTCTCCTCCAACCTCAAAGTGTGAAGGTCCTTTCCAGTCCACATCATCTTAGCAAAAACCCACACTGTCCCTTTAAACCCTGCTTATCGTGAAATGAGCACTGTTGATATTACTGACCTACTAAAGGACTCTGTGTGTGTGTGTTTTTTTTTTTTTTTTTTTTTTTTTTTTTTTTTTGCGGTACACTGGCCTCTCACTGCTATGGCCTCTCCCTTGTGGAGCACAGTCTCCAGACGCGCAGGCTCAGCGGCCATGGCTCACGGGCCCAGCTGCTCCACGGCATGTGGGATCTTCCCGGACCGGGGCACGAACCCGTGTCCCCTGCATCGGCAGGCGGACTCTCAACCACTGTGCCACCAGGGAAGCCCAAGGACTCTGTGTTTGTTTATAACCTCCAACTTCACACTCAGACTGGTTCTGAAAATGGTACCATAACTGTGATGTTTTTGCTAAATATTTATTCATAGTATTCTCTTTGTTGCTTCTGGCCAACTATGAATTAGTGGTTTAGGTTAGATTTTACTTCGGACTTTTCTTAATGACAACTCCACAGCCCCAGTGGGCCTTTTTCTCAAGGTGGGCTTGAAAGTACTTGAAATGATCTTTGGATTAACAACAAAATGCTGTGTGGAAGTTTGGGCTTTGGGAGGGCAGGGGTAGGAGTGGTCGGTTCATCTGAATCTGTGTTGATGTGCATTGCGAGGGACTTTGGACGATTCACATCATCTCCTGGGTGTTTGGTTCTACATTTGTAGAGCAAAGGTCAAGATGAGAGCATGTCTAGGGACCTTCCTAATTCTAAGTCTCTGTGGCCCTGGACTCTGCTCCTCACCTCTACAAGAAATACTTAAGTTGCCTACTTGTGGCTCAACTGGCTGAACTGTAGAACTGCAGAGCATTAGGGATGGAAGAGGTCTGGGATCCAAAACAGAATAGTGCTCACTATTCCTCCCCTGATTCCCAGTGCCAAGTTAGGTAAAATGGGGCATATAAATATGCATTTCTTATACCTAAGTGACTTTACATTAATTTGGTTTTGAAAACTCTCTAATATCATTGAAATAATTTGAGATACGCTGAGACCTTGTAAGAATTGGATTAACCTTGGTGCAAAGCAAAGCTACTGGCCAACTCAACTGGCCACTGATTCACTGTTGAACGAGGACATGTCAATATAGTGAGCTGCGTCTGTGAAAGGGCTAGTGGGAGCAGAATTGCTTACTTATCCTATATTATCACATATATTGGGCAAGGCAGTGTACCCCACTTTGAGAGAAGGTTCTTTAACCTTAAGTGGTCACCTCAGGGGCCTGGACATGCAAGTCACTGCTGTTCCTTGCTTGGCTGTCACCTCCGAGCACGTGGAAGGGGCTCCCTCTGACTGGGACCTTTCTCTGGTGCTGGAATCTTCTCCTGCCTTTCACGTGGCATCTGAATCAGCCTCTCTGGGAGGTAAAGGAAATGACCATGGACTTCTCTGTGGATGCTTTTCCAGCCCTCTGCATCCTGCCCCTCAGTCTCTGGGTGATGGGTTCCCTCTGGGCAGGGAGGCCCCATGATGCTGGGGGGATACAGGAGCATAGCTTAGGATCCCGCTTGCCGGGCTCACCACTCTTTCTGTAGTTTCTGGCCTCCTGGGCGGAAGATGCACGGCTGAGAGGCCCACAGGCTGGTCTCAGCTAGTTTGGCTTAGCTGGGTGTCAGTTGTGCAGTGGGATTTTGTCTTCAGTACATTCTGTATCTATTTCATGGTGAGGTGTGTAGTGCTGTAGGTAATTGGAGGGTCAGGTCTAGGCTGGAAGGGGGTTGCAGTGTCATCTGCTCTCGCTAACCACCTTCAACCCCAAAGCCATGTCCCCCAATAAACACAAAAGTGAACAATGCAGTGGGCTAATAAAGAGCTAGCCTTTATTTGCCTCAGAGATCTCCAGGCATAAGTCTCCTCACATAAATTAGGTCTGAACCATTGGACCAAAGGTTAAGGTAAGAGGGGGCTTATAATTAGACACAGAACGGGCCAAGCTTCTAGGTAACTGAATGTGCGTGTTTCTGAGAGAAGCATTCTCCAAACTAACCAGAAATGACTATCGAGGCTTCTCTTGTTTGGAGTTTTTGCCTTATTATTTCTCCATTCCTTTGTTACAGACAATCAGTAGCTAAATGCACTGGGAGAACTGCAGGCGTGGAAGATTTGTATGCTTTTATGATGGAGCCCAGACCTCTACTGGGAGTCTGTTTGAGCTGATTCCAGAGCAATTAGCTGAATGGAGCAGATTTGATTGTTAGAATGAGTAGAGCAGAACTATCCAGAAAACTGTCCTTTACATCACGTCTCCCCCTTTGCGGGGGGAATGGAGTTTTCTCAGTGTTAGTGGAGGTCGTTGTCTTTGAGATTCAACTTCTTGAAACCTTGAAGAGCTTACATCCCACCCCGGATTTGATGGACTCTCCTTTCCTCTGCTCCAGAATTGAACTCCGAGCCCTGGGCAAGATCTCAGAAGGAGAGGAGCTGACCGTGTCCTATATCGACTTCCTTAATGTCAGTGAAGAACGCAAGAAGCAGCTGAAGAGACAGTATTACTTTGACTGCACGTGTGAGCACTGCCAGAAAGGGCTGAAGGACGACCTCTTCCTGGGTGCGAAAGACGACCCGAAGGTACAGGCAGCCCCACTACTGGGGTGCTTCTGGGCATCTTCCCCAAGAGCCAGGCAAGGGCAGATTCCACAGCTAACCAAGGCGCCACTGCCCTGGTGGACAGAGTGGGTGGTGAACAGAGCACGCAGATGGGTCCCAGCTAGCGTCCTGGTAGCACTGCTTGCCAGGTGTTTGAGTTTGGGGAAGTTACTCTGTTTTCTCATTTGTAAGATAGGAATGATGGCACCTACGGCAAGGGGTTGTTATGGGGATTAAGCAAGATGATATATGTAAAAGGAGTGACACAGAGAGTAGACACTAAAGGAGTGGCACAGAGAGTAGACACTAAAGGAGTGGCATAGAGAGTAGACACTCAGTAAATTTAAGTTCCTCTTCTTGCCCCTTTGCAGGTTAAGTGATGCTGAGAATTCCATATAGAGAGACCAGATGGGCAAAGAGATTTGTTGTTGGGTTATCACAAAGATATTCGTAGTCCCATGGAAATGGGCAATGGGGAGATTGGGCAATGTTTAGATTGCTTAATTCCTGAGTAACTGTTGCCTAATTGATGGTGAGACCATTCAGCACTGGAAGTCTTACCAAGGGGGATGCCCCCCAGCGCCCCCTTCACAATAAGCAGGCCTTCGTAGAGGCTCCTCAAGAAGACCTCAAGACCTCAGATAATCAACTATACTTCAATTAAATAAAAAAAAAAGAGAGAGAGAGAGAGACTTAGGAATGAAGGCACCTGGGCCAGGAATGCAAATATGCGAAGAGCATGACCTGTGGTGGGGGGTGGGGGTGGGGGGACCTGAGTCCTTGGCTGCATCTCACTTCACAGACTGCGACGCTCTGGCCCTGCACCAAATCCCTTGTGGGGAGGGCAGCTTTCCCCCAACCCGTGAGGCCTGCCAGGGAGAGCCTTTGGAACTGCCCATGGTCAGGTCTGAAAAATCACACGTAGGTTTTTAGCCGGGAGCCATTCTCCTCGGGGAGGCTAACCCAGCACTTCTATATAATTCACAGTTCACCAGAGCATTTAAGATACAAATATACTTCTGAATTAACTTCTGCATCCTAAGTGTGGGCAGAAACTTGTCTCTCATTAGAGCAAAGGCTGCAAGCAAAACTGACTTCTAGGTTCAGATGGTGGGACCCCTCTCCATGACTTCATTACCCAGTGGTGTCAGTGCTACTGTCCAGATAACTCTGTTCCCTCACTTGATTCACCTGTCTTTCATTTTCTGGCTATTCGAGGCTTCTTTTGCCACTAACTTATTTTCACTCTCTATAATATTTTTTACCCTTTGGCCAAGCAGTTCTAAGAATTTACCCTACAGATATACTTGCGTATGTGCACAGGAATATATGTGTAAAGAGATAGTATGTTATGGCATTGTTGGGAACAACAAAATATTGGGGAAAAGCTAAATAACCACCAATAGGGAAATATTTAAGTTAAGAAAATAAACTGATGTAGATCTTTGTGTACAGACATGGAATGAGCTCTCTTTCTTTATTTTTTTTCATTTCTTATTTTTAAAAATTGAAGTGTAGTTGATTTACAGTGTTGTGTTAGTTGCTGGTGTACAGCAAAGTGACTCAGTTATACATACATATATATTTTCTTCTTCATATTCTTTTCCATGATGATTTATTACAGGATATTGAATATAGTTCCCTGTGCTATACAGTAGGACCTTGTTGTTTATCATTCTACCTGTAATAATTTGCATCTGCTAGTCTCAAACTCCCAATACTTCCCTCCCCCATCCCCCTCCCCCTTGGCAACCACAAGTCTCTACTCTATGTCTGTGAGTCTGTTTCTGTTTCATAGATAAGTTCATTTGTGTCACCTTTTAGAGTCCACATATAAGTGGTATCATATGGTATTTTTCTCTTTCTGACTTACTTTGCTTAGTGTGATAATCTCTAGGTCCATCCATGTAGCTGCAAATCGCATTATTTCATTCTTTTTTTATGGCCGAGTAATATTCCATTGTACCACATCTTCTTTATCCATTCGTCTGTCGATGGACATTTAAGTTGTTTCCATGTCTTGGTAATTGTAAATAGTTGAGCTCTATTTCTTAAGAGAAAAGAGTTAAGGGGCTGAACATTGACATATGAATTCGTTTCCTAGGGCTGCCATAACACAGTACCCCAAACTGGGTGGCTTACAATAGAAATGTATTGTTTCTGAGTTCTGGAGGCTAAAATCCGAAATCAAGGTCTTGGCAGGGCTGGTTCCTTTTGAGGGCTGTGAAAGAAGGATCTGTTCTAGGCCTCTTTCTTTGGCTTGTAGCTGGCCCTGAGCCTTTTCACATGGTCTTCTCCTCATGTGTCTCTTTCTCTTCACCTGGCATTGTTTTTTTAAGAACACCAGTGCTGTTGGATTAAGGGCCCACCCTACTTAAGTATGACCTCATCTTAACAAATTACATCTGCAATGACCCTATTTCTAAATAAGGTCAGATTCTGAGGTACCGGGGGTTAAGACTGCAACATAGGAATTTAATTTTGGGGGGATGAAATTCAACCCATAACACTGTGTATGCTACTGTTTCTGAAAATTAAAATTAAATTTATTAAATTATTTAAATTAAAAGGGACACATGCCCTCACACAGATTCACTCACCCCACATGGGTGTGCAAGCAGAGTCAGTCTCTAAACAGACAGAAGTAGGAGGAGGAATCTGTAACCAGTGGATCAACAATCCCTAGTGTGGAGAAGTTGAGAGTCATCCCTCCCAGGCAGGATACAAAACAGTCAGGAATGTGTTCCTTATAGGAACAACCCCATTTTCACAGAATCAAAGGTTCTGTTTTCCAGGAAATGTATTGACAAGTATGTGTGGGGCACTGAACACGGTACCACAGGAGCTACAGAAAAGAATAAGCTACTGTGTCCACCCTCACCCTGACCTTCCAGAACCTGCAGGATAATATGTGTCTTATCAGCAAGCCAGCCAGCCTTGCCTCCTGGTGCCTGGCCCTGAGTATTTTTCTCATAACTTGCTTCCACCACTGCCTAATTTTTCAAAGAGGCCAGACCCTCTTTTCTCCCTTCAGAAATTAAGTGAAACAGCTGTGTAGTCATTTCTCTAAATTTCTCAATATTTACCTGGCAACTCCAATAGTTAAATAGGTGATGTGTGGCTGTTAGTTCCTGTCCCTTCACTTTAGATACGCTTACCAGCTGGTGACTCTATGCCCACATCTTTCAGTCTGAATTAGCAGAGCTGACATCTCTCTTGATATAAAAACATTGATGATTTCTGCTTGAACCGACCTGGATTCAAAGCGAAAACTGTCTATTATTTTTATATCACATTGGGTTTCTCTGTTAAAATAAAGAAATAACTCAAAATAAAAATGACTTAACCAAAACAAGTAAGCAGAAAAAAAATTGAGTATAACTTTTTAAAAGCAAGTGCATCTGAAGGCATAATAAAAAGCCATTATATTGTAGTGGAAAGAATACTGGAGAATTAGGAGGCCTGTGTTCTAGTTCTGGCTGTGACCCTGAATGTCTGAGCTTGGGCACGTCTCTTCCTTGTGGGTCTGTTTCCTCATCTGTAAAGTGGAGCATTGGACTAACTTATTAACAGTTCCTTCAAGCTTTTCTATCTACGATGTCATCACAGTTGCTTTTCTTTCTTTATTTAAATAATGCTTTATCCCAGCCTGGTAAGCTCCTTTCTATATACCAGCCTTTGTGACTCATCTTCAAACCTTAAATTGGCATCAAAATTGTTTCTGACTCTTATGTATATATTATAAATAACTAAATAAATATAATAAAAACATACACATATAGACCTGGATAAAAATAAAAACCCAATCTTTTTTTTTTTTTTTTTTTTTTTTTTTTTTTTTTTTTATACTTAAAGAGGTTAAGTGTCCCCTGCATCGGCAGGCGGACTCTCAACCACTGCGCCACCAGGGAAGCCCAACAAACCAAATCTTTTAAAAATGAGAACATAACACCAATTTCCCCCGATTGTAGCTTTGGACCCTCCTTGTTTAGGCTGTTTGGTTCTCTCTCTCTCTCTCTCTCTCTCTCTCCAACCTTCAGCTATGGTTTTCACAATAGGAATGTTCCAGTTTCTCAAGGTTG